ACACTAATGTATGTCATATTTATGTGGAGGCCACCCGGATAAGGACAGGGGTCTAGCTGCCAAGGATGTCCTTTTCCCCCCTCTCTGGATCTTTGCTGCGGAGACTTCAGTGATTAGAGTTGCGGAGTGATTATAGCAAAGACATTAGCCGAGACTTAATGCGGGGAGTGAACTAGTGAACTTATACACAGAACCCCAGCAGGGGGTCTCCATACAGTTCAACACAAGCTCCTCCCCGGTGTCTGGGAGATAATTGAATTAAAGAGTGGCAAGTAGTTGAATAATTGAGTTCAAGACCGGGCACACAGAAAACACCCCAAAACACATGCAGTTTTTCCAGGAACCCCCACAAGTTCTATGTCCCCGGATAGCCCAGATCAGAGTACCCAAGTTGTCCTGTTCGGTAGAACAGGAACACCATCCGGGTTAAGTTTTGACCTATCGGCCACGTGGTCGTAGTTCGAAAGAGTGAAATGGGTTGTGTCCAGTCTCTGTTCGGGAGTTCCTGCCGTTGTACAAATAAGTGTTCGGTTCTGGTTCTAAAAAGCGAATGTTCCTTAAAGCGGCACTGTCATGCCGAATCCCGTTTTTTTTTTTTTAACCCCCCTCCCGCCTCCACTACATCCAATTGACCCACTAGTCACCCCCAAATGCCCCTAAGCCCCCACATTACCTATTTTTTAATCCTTATTTTCTGCCCCGATCTATATTCAGGGCGCCGCCATCTTTGTGTGGGTAGGTGAAGTCCCTCAGGGACACGTCATCAGCCCACACTAGGCAGACACTGAGATTCCCGCACATGCCCAGTGAAACACCTGGACATGCGAACGGGAATTTCAGCTATTCATTCATTCATCAGACAGACGAATGAGTGAATAGAAATATCAGCCGAACAAACTAACACAATGTATCAGTGTTAGTTTGTTCGTTAGTTTATTACAAGGAGGGAGCTACCGGCACGCAGCTCCCTCCTTGTAATATGTAACTATAGAAGCGGCAGGGAGCAGTGCTCCCCACCACTTCATAAGCCCCCCAGTACCCCCTCTCACTCTATGGGGGTCAATATGACCCCATAATAGCACAAGGGAGATTAAAATCTCCCAAATGCCCCTACTCGCTATACCGCGAGTAGGGGCATGTCTACTAAACAGTGAGCAGCCTATGGCTGCTCACTGTTGAAAAAAAAGACATAAATTACAATAAGGGGGGGCGGACCTATTGTCCTCCCCCCCTCCCCCACCCTGAGCGGCGGGTGGGGGACCTACTGTCCTACCCCTGAGCGGTGGGTGGGGGCCCTAATAAAACAATAAGGGGGGGGACCTACTGTCCTCCCCCCCTGGCCCCCACCCCTGCGCGGTGGGTGGGGGCCCCAATAAAACAATAAGTGGGGGGGACCTACTGTCCTCCCCCCCCCCCCACCCCTGCGCGGTGGGTGGGGGCCCTAATAAAACAATAGGGGGGGGGACCTACTGTCCTCTCCCCCGGCCCCCACCCCTGAGCGGTGGGTGGGGGCCCTAATAAAACAATAAGGGGGGGGACCTACTGTCCTCCCCCCCCGGCCCCCACCCCTGAGCGGTGGGTGGGGGCCATAATAAAACAATAAGGGTGGGGGACCTACTGTCCTCCCCCCCGGCCCCCACCCCTGAGCGGTGGGTGGAGGCCCTAAATGAAACACCCCACCCCCCCCAATCAAGGTGACTAGGGGTCCCAAGCCCCTAGTCACCACCCCCCCCACCCAAAAAAACCTATCCCCTACCTACCCCCCTCACCCTACAAATAGTGAGGGGGGGAATAAAATAACTAACCTGTAAAAAAAAAAAATTTAACTTACCATTTGACGTCTTCTTTTTTCTAAAATCTTCTTTCTTCAGCCCCCAAAAAGGCCAAATAAAAATCCATTATACCCGTCGCACTTTAAAAAACAAAAAAACAAAACCGAGCGCAAAAAAAAATTAATCCAAGTTCGCCCTTCGAGGGCACGCCGCAGACTGAGCTCCGCAGGGCGGGTCAAGGCTTATAAAGCCTTGCCCCGCCCTGCAATTAGGCTTAGAACACTCTGATTGGTGGGTTTAAGACAGAGGGGTGGGGGCCGGGGGGGGGGAGGACAGTAGGTCCCCCCCCTTATTGTTTTACTGGGGCCCCCACCCACCGCGCAGGGGTGGGGGCCAGGGGGGGAGGACAGTAGGTCCCCCCCCTTATTGTTTTATTAGGGCCCCCACCCACCGCGCAGGGGTGGGGGCCGGGGGGGACAGAAGTTCCCCCCATATCTTTATTTAGGGCCCCCACCCACCGCTCAGGGGTGGGGGCCAGGGGCCAGGTTCCCCCCATCTTTATTTAGGGCCCCCACGGGCATGGGGGGAGTGGGGGGGGTTATTAGTTTTTTGTTTGTTTTTTTACAGTGAGCAGCTATAGCTGCTCACTGCTTACTACACATGCCCCTACTCGCGGTATAGCGAGTAGGGGCATATTATTTACTAATACTAAGTAATCTTTACTTAGTATTAGTAAATTGGCTGAAAGACCAATTTAGGTCTTTCAGCCTTTTAGTAGATAGCTCCCTGATACCGTGGGAATTAGGGAGTTATCTACTAAACGGCTGCAAGATGCAGCCACAGCATGAATAGGATCAGAGTTTCATTCATTAGAATGAAATTCCGATCCGAATAAAGTGCCGAATTGCGTTCTAAAAGAAACGAACAGACTGTTCTCATTCAGTTAGAACGCAATTCAGCAGTTTAGTGTAAAGTGACAGGAAGCATTGTGGGAACACAGAGGGAAGGTAAGGATCATGGGAAAATTGCTCTGACCAGCGGAAATGAAGCACACTTTGCTCCTCCGCTGGTCAGAGCTGGTCAAGCGGAGGAATCCTCCATAAGGCAAAGAGTCCCTACTTTGTCTTATGATTTTAAAGAAAACTAAAGAAGACAGGAAGAAAAGAATAACAAATCCCGAGAGAGGGGGAGAAGAGGAAGAGATTGAGGAAAGGTAAGTTCGGCATGACAGTGCCGCTTTAAGTTTGTGCAAACAATTTGCCCGAAGAGCACTCTTCTTTGCCTCTGGAAAAGAAGCAGGTGATGATACAAGTTCAGCGGTGTTCGCGAGTTAGTCTGTCCGATTTTAGTCTGATTCAGTGCTGTATTCCTAGCACTACCAATCCCTCTGTCTCCCATTGCCCTCACGTGCCTCCTGGTAAATAAAGGGTTAAAAACTCTACTTACCTTATTGAAGCTCCGCCCCTTCCTCTGTCCCGTGACAAGCGGGGTCTAATTGCCACATTAGACCTCCCCATAGGAAAGCACTGAGCGTGAGGACATCCAGCATCAGATAATAGACTACAAGTCTGTTACGATTCCGGAAGTGCCCCCAGTGTCTGTCTGGTAGACAGCAACTGAGGCCAGACTTAGTGCTGCAATGTAAACATTGCAGTTCTCTGGAACTGCGATGTTTACATTGCAGCACTAGGCGCAAAAGAGACAATGAGCTGAAGTGGTCTGGGTGCCTACAGTGTCCCTTTAAGGGGTTAAAAAGACACCTTTCCAGACCAGCAGTAATTAATTTCCTCAAGCCAGCAATTAATTTTGTAACATAGATCTTAAAGGAATAATCCAAGGACCATAACCACTAGAGCCCCTGTGGGGATTACGGTTCCCGGGGTACCCTTGTCCCATTTTAGCATAACCTGTCAAACGATTTTAGCATGGTATGACCAGAGCCGACCCCTGTGATGTGGCCATGGCTCCCACTTTGGTATTTTCTAACAGTTATATTATAGTAATAAGTTTGGGAAATTCCCTTGTCTTCCACGATCAGTCCCTCCAGCCACTCGCCTGTCAGCCCAGCAGTAATTTTGTATCACAGACAAGCCCCTTTAAAATGCAGGCTTCCAGGCCACTGGCTGTATCATGTATATTGAAGAGGGTACCCAGTACACACCATCTTCAGTTTCCAGCAGCTCCTCTCTACACGAGTTGGATAGAAAAGCTGATGAAAACTGAAGATACAGCGTACTGGGCCACCCTCTTCAATAAACAAGTTCTTAGCAGCCTGCACAAAGCCACTGGTAAGAGGCAGGGAGGAGAATAAAAACTTACAATAAAATAAATAAAATCTTTTTGCCCATAGAATGAAATAAATAATACATATATCTCCCCTATTCAGGTTTACATACTCTGCATTCACTATACCATCGACAGTGTTCCTATGGCATGCATACACTAGGAGGTCTGTTAACATTTATGTCGTAGGTTTGCCACATCTTTTTCATACACGTTCAGTGACAAGACTAAAGTGGAAAGTGTAACCGGGCCCATTGTATTCAGGCAGGAACCAGGATATGAGTTATCCCAGCATCACTAAATGACAAGCGAGCAGTGAGATTAAAGCAGCCAATGGAGTGCAGCCAGAACACCCACATGAGCTCTCCCAAAAATAGGGAAGATGGATGGACCTATAAAAAAAAAAAATTAAAAAATATTAAACACGTGTGTGAGAAAGAGTGTATATATCCGAGTGTCAGTGTGTGTCTCACTGAGTGTGTGTGTGTCAGTTTGTGTCAAAACAGTGAAAGTGTCTATTTTAGTGAGTGTGTGTGTATGTGTATCTGAGAATGTGTAAGTATGTGTCCCCCAGTGAAAATGTGTGTGTTTCCATGTGTGGTGGTTTAACAGTGTGTGTGTGTGCGCCAATTACTGTGTGTTGTGTCAGTGGGTGTATGTCAGTGTATGTGTATCAGTGAGAGTGTAATGGGGGGGCCGGACGTTTCTTTGATTCAGGCACCTAGTTACATCACTGTATGTGCTCCACAGACACCCCAAACTATTTTCTTATGCTTCCCCCAACCCTGGGTTAAGACAGTGATAAAAAAGTGTGGTGGTAATCCCTGTCACCCCTCGGATAAATGGCAGGCAGACAGTGGGGCAACCAGAGTTGTGGATTGTTGGTGAACAAGCTGTGTGGGGAGCAGAGTGTTAAAAATCTTAAAAAAGGCATTCACTCGAGACCCTTATCCTCAGATACCACCGCCCCTGGGACGCTCCTCTCTCCCTATTTACCATCATCACATTGGATCTCTGGCTAGGAGAATAAGGAGTCTTGTCATGCCCTAAAGTTTCTAAGCCCTGTGTAGGGTCTTGAGAAGCCTACTGTAATCCCCGCGACTGCGGACATTGCCTGGGGCTAGTGATGGCCCAGGGAGAGTATCTTAGCTGGAAACAAAGCTTCAAATAGCACAAATATATATATATATTTTTTTTTAAGCCCTCAGCTAGTGGGTGCTATGGGAGTGAGTGTGTCCAGGGCTTGCACAGGGACTGCCAATAATGCGCTCTATACGTATAGCTTATGGGGCAAATGTAGGTCTGCAGTGGGCATTACCAATCAAGGGATTGAGGGCAGGAATTAGTATGTATGACATACAGGTGGGGCAGGATTAGAGGAAGACAGACTCCTCATGTGATGAAGATGGTCATTTTTTTTTTTTTTTTTATAAATCTCAGTTTTCAGGTTTATTTGCAGCGTCGACGTTTTATGATAAAGAGGTTGGTTTCATGTTGCAGTTTGGGCAATGGGGCTAAAAAAGGTTTACCATCACTGCGAGAGACACACACTCTCTCTCTCTCCTTATTGGCAGACATGAATGCAGGCCCAGAACTTGAGTTGGGTAAGAAGCCCCAAAATTCCTTATGGTAGCCCTGTACATAGTCTTGTAAGACATCCTAAAAAAATAAAATAAAAAAAATACAGAAAGACACTTTTGGGAATAAATACAGACTATAAAAAAGAAGAAAACCACACCCAAAATAATATAGATGGATCTTGTACAGAAAACACCCTTTTCTAATAGCATATATCTCACATGACAATTTAAACACCTCTTTGGTTTGTTATTGTTAATTATTATTATTTATTTAGCACCATCAGATTCCGTAGCTCTGTACAATGGGTGGACTAACAGACATGTAATTGTAACCAGACAACTGGACGTAAAGGAACAGAGAGGTGGAGGGCCTTGCTTAATGAGCTTACATTCTAGAGGGAGTGGGGTATAGTGACACAAATGGTAAAAGTAGGGGTACGAAGTAGGTTGTTAGAAAAGTATTCACTGAGGGCTTAGTAGGTAATTTTGACAGTTGCAGGAGAGGAGTCATGGGGGATAAAAACCTGCTAACAGGTGGGAGTACGGACAGAGGATATATGTAGGTCTTTGGCAGAGCGTAGGGGCCTCGACGGGACATACTTATGTATTAGGGAGTATAGGCAGGTTGGAGCAGCATTATGTAGGGACTTGTAAGCAAGCACCAGAATTTTAAATTGAGCCCTATATCTAACTGTAAGCCAATGCAGAGACTGACAGAGCGGGGAGGAAAATGAGCCTCACCGCCGCATTTATTATAAATTGCAGCAGTGCAATCTGGGTACACGTAAGATCACTGAGAAGGGGATTGCAGTAGTCAAGGCGAGAGAGAACAACAGCATGGACCAGCACCTTAGCTGCATCTGGCGTTAAATAGGGGAGGATGTGCGTTATGTTTTTGAGATGGAAGTGAGAGGATTTGGCAATTGATTGGACATGAGGGGTGAAAAGTTTGATGTATATTATATTTGGCCAATATTTTAATACCACTGCAGAAGCATTTATGTTGTGACATCTAATCTAGCGTGCATTGCTCTAAATAGGTTATTGGAAAGTATTGATCTAATCACGATGCTGATAATTTTCATTTTAATTTTACTACTGAACAGGGACCCGGTCAGGTGCAGCGGTCCTTTAAGACTGCGACTGGACACCTGTAATGTCGGCAGGCTGGGAAGAAGTGACATCCTGTCACTTCCTCCCAGCATCATGCAAGTGCGGGAGGGAGAGGAGCACGAAGAGCTCCATACCTATCACTCCCACCAGCTGGACTCCAAGCCACCCTCTTGGACACACAAGGTAAGCTAACAGGAGGGTGGCGTGAGATATTAAACATATCACTTGTGGGTATGTATGTGTGCGTGTGGGCGCGTGCACAAGTATGTGCATATGAGTGTGCGAGCACAATGTATGTGTGTATGAGTGCGCGCGTGTGTATTACATAGCTGAAAAGAGACTTGCGTCCATCAAGTTCAGCCTTCCTCACATATGTTTTTGCTGTTGATCCAAAAGAAGGCAAGACACCTAGTCTGAAGCGCTTCCAATTTTGCAACAAACTAGTCTCTGTTCGTGCCTTTTTAAATTACCAGGTTCGGTATATGTGATGTACCAAACTAATTGAACTTGTGCTGTTTGACTGTTAGAGATTCTTCCTGGGTCATGGCTGTCTAAAATGCATCCAAATATTCAGTGTCTCCTCCCTCTGCATGCAGATTCAATTAATCTCTATGAGGAGATGCTGATTGGCTAGAGCTGTGTTTAAATTGTGCTGGCTCTGCCCCTGATCTGCCTCCTTGTCAGTCTCAGCCAATCCTATGGAAAAGCATTGTGATTGGGTCAGGCCTCCACTTCTGGAGAGGTCAGCAGACAGCTAGTTTTTCTGAGGCAAACAGTATGCAGAGCTACAGCTTCAGGCTTAATAAACAAGTAAGATTTTGCTATATTTATGAAGGCATGAGGGGCTCAGGGGGGCTAGATGGTGGTTTTAACACTATAGGGTCAGGAATACATGTTTGTGTTCCTGACCCTATAGTGTTCCTTTAACCGCAACTAAATTGGTGATAGGCTGGGTGGTCAGCAGTTATATTGCCGAACAAGTGGCGGCGGCCATCTTTAGCTGCAAATGCACAGAACGGTGTTTGGTCGTCGAGTGCATGGAACTCAAATCAGACACTCGACGGCACCTCTAGAACTTCCTTTAACCCCTTAAGGACGGAGCCAAATGTACACGTTGTGAACAAAACAAAATGTAAACAAAACCTGGCATTTGCACTACATGTCTGTCCAACTGTAATTCACCTCTTTCATAGTAAATGCACCCAGCCTTATTATATATCAATTTTATTCAGGGGAAACAGGGATTTCATTTAATATCAAATATTTAGCTGTGAAACATAATTTAATATGAAAAAAATGGTAGAAAATAAGATTTTTTTTTGATTTTTTTAGTTCTACATGACATTTTAACTGTCAATGTCATAATACTGTTTGCTTTTACTGCAATAAAATACATATATTTGTATTCAGCAAAGTCTCACGTGTAAAACAGTACCCCCTATGTACAGGTTTTATGGCGTTTTGGGAAGTTACAGGGTCAAATATAGCACGTTACATTTGAAATTGAAATCATAAACACTGGCCAAAGTTAGCGTTAGTATTTGTTTGTGTGTGAAAAATGCAAAAAATACCAATTTTGGCCAGTGTTTGTGACTAAGTGGCTACTAAAAAAGACTGGACATACCCCGTTTGCAATACCTTGGGTTGTCTTCTTTTGCAAATGGTATGCCATCATAGAGGTAATTTTCATTCTTGGGCTACCATGGGGTCTCAAAGGCAACCTAACCAATCTGACGAATTTTAATGTGAAAAAAATGAAAACACAAGCCTTATATTTGACGCTGTAACTTTTGAAAACACTATAAAACCTGTACATGAGGGGTACGGTTGTACTCGGGAGACTTCGCTGAACACAAATATTTGTGTTTCAAAACAGTAAAAAGTATCGCAGCAATAATATCGTCCGTGTAAGTGCTGTTTGTGCATGAAAAATGCAAAAAAAACAAACTTTACTTTTACTGGCGATATCATCGTAGTAATGCATTTTACTATGCATATATAATTATATATTTATTTATTTTTTACACTCACTCTCACATGGCCGGGGGGGCTGCAGGAGAGAAGATGTGCCGCAGGGGGGCTCCCTGGGAGTGCCCCCAACCGCGATCGCCGGCGTGGGATCGCCGACGGCCGGGTAAGTAAACAAAAACTGGAGGGCGCCCGGCGGCGTTTAGAGTACGCCCTCCGGGTTAAAGTTTGGTAAAACATGTGGAAATTGAAAGGTGTTCGGTGGAAGCAAGCTCCCGAATAAGGGACATAGACGCTACGTTTGGTACTTTTGCTATATTTTGTACTCACGAAAGAGACTGACCTCACAGCCTGATTTCATGGAACTATTTTGGGAGGAGCCTAGTGTGTGGTCGGTCAAATTATGACTTCCATGGATATCCCGAACCCATCTGGGTGATTTTTGGATATGTTGGTCCCCTAGATTGGGGCTATCAGGGCATGTGACTTTTGTGGGGTTGCCATGTGTTTTGGGGGTACTTTCACGATGTTGTTAATTTATGTTTTCTGTGCCTGGAGATAATTGAGTTTAGTACAGTTCCTGACTCAATTATCTCTCAGGCACAGGGGAGGAATTATCCAGGACCTGAGAATCAATGTAATTACAGTATGTAATTTGTCACAGTCCCCTCTCAGGTCCAGTGGGGAATGCCCCTGGAATATGTTATGGAAAACCCCTTGCATAGGGACTTGCATATAAGGCCAGTTGCTGCCATTAAACAGTTCCTCTTCACCCTCAACATAGAGCCTCGTCTCAAAAGCTATATCCACAACCTTGGATTATAAATCACTTGCTCTTTTAAGAGCTATCCTCTCTGGAGTAAGAGAGGTCTACCCACTGGAAGCTGGATCCTGGTCTTGGGTCCAGGGTGGGTGGAAGACAGCGAGACCCCAAACAAGCTGTATGGCAGGCTGTGGGGACTACGGTGGTTTTGGTGTCTGGTGTAATGCTTGGAAGTACTCGGGAATAGTAGGAAACCGACAGGCGGAGGCACCCAGTTGGGGTGCCAGGCGGTCCGCCACATGAGTATGTGTATGTGTGAGTGAGTGCGTATGTATGTGTGTGCGTGTGTCAGGTTGTGCTGCTGTGTGTATAAATATATATATATATATATATTTTTATTTATTTTTTATTTATTTTTTTCAGGTTGTGCTTCTGTGTCAGTATGTGTGTACACACACACACCCACACATCTGTGCGTCAGGACATGTGCATCTGTGTGTCATGGTGTGTATGTATCAATGTTTGTGTGTGTCAGGGTGCGTGTGTATGTGTCGGTGTCTATATGAATGTGTGGTATGTTTATATGTATGTACATACATCCAAGCAGTCATACACCAGCACAACATACAAACACACTCCTGCAATCTAACACAAATATTACATACAAACACACCCATGCATTCAAACTCCAAAAGGATATACAAACACAAATACTTCACACAAATGTACACCCATTAAATTCAAACACACCCCTGCAAACGCAAACATTACATACAAACACACCCCTATATTAAAACACAAACTATATATAAGTACCTCTACAAACAGAAACATTTTATATTACACTATAGCACCAGTAAATGCTGCAGAACTGAACAGATATACAACCTAGAAATTTTTACTTATTAAGGGCGCTTTAAAGATAAAAAGTTTGTGAACCACTGTGATAGAACAATGAGCGTGGGTGTGGTTTTGGTGAAAGATGGCAGGGGAGGTCACATTTCATCCTTGCGCAACATCTCGGGCTGGATCTGGATATGGCACTTACCTGGTTTCTGTCTGGCTCCCACACTGCTTTCAGACTCCTTGTGTTAGAGAAAACAGATGCCAATGTAGGCTGAAAGCATCATTTAAACATCAATTTGAGATCATTTAAACACATAAAGGGACAATCCAGATCCCTAAAGCACTTTGGCTTGCTGAAAAGCTTTGCTGATATCAACTCTTAAAGGACCACTCTAGGCACCCAGACCACTTCAGCTTAATGAAGTGGTCTGGGTGCCAGGTCCAGCTAGGGTTAACCCATTCTTTTATAAACATAGCAGTTTCAGAGAAACTGCTATGTTTATGAATGGGTTAAGCCTTCCCCCAAAGCCTCTAGCGGCTGTCTCACTGACAGCCGCTAGAGGCGCTTGCGTGCTTCTCACTGTGAAAATCACAGTGAGAGCACGCAAGCGTCCATAGGAAACATTGTAAATTGCTCTTGACCCGCGTGCGCATTCAGCAGAATGGGCGGAGAGGAGGAGGATCGGAAGAGGAGAGCTCCTCGCCCAGCGCTGGAAAAAGGTAAGTTTTTACCCCTTTCTAGAGCAGGGCGGGAGTGGGACCCTGAGGGTGGGGGCACCCTCAGGGCACTATAATGCCAGGAAAACAAGTGTTTTCCTGGCACTATAGTGGTCCTTTAAATTTCAGTTTCAGAAAGCGGAGTGTCTTTTTGGAGTGATGATTGATTGAGAGCTGTCAGCTAACTTTCTTAGACAATCACTGATTGCAGGGTTAAGCCAACCTCTAGTGGCTGTCTTCCTGACAGCTGCCAGAGGCGGTTCTGCAACGCTGGATGCAAAATTTGCATCCAGCGTGCAGAACGTCCATAAGAATGCATTGAGAAATGTTTTCCTATGGACTGTTTAAATGCCCGCACGGCTCTTGCGGTGCATGCGCATTCCGCTCCACTTGGGAGCTGGCGGGGGAGGAGAGGTCACCAGCGCCGAGGGAGCCCAGCGCTGGATTAATGGAAGTAACTGAAGGGTTTTTTTAACCCTTTCAGCGCCAAGGGAGAGGGTCCTAAGGATGCTATAGTGTCAGGAAAACGAGTTTGTTTTCCTGACAGTATAGTGATCCTTCAATTTAGATAAAGTTGATATGGTGTATAAACTGCCCCTTTAATGCCCTGCCCAAAACTCATTGGCTTTTATAATTAAGTGTAACTACCTGTGGAAATATGCATATGTAGAACATGTGATGTAGGTAAATAGGCACAGCGACTGTATCCAGAACTACAAGATTAAAACGTGTAGAAGATATAAATGAAAATTGGGTAATCCTGCATAATACCATTTCATGTACATTAAAAATATAAGTAACAGTCCTGCATAGATATTGTTGCCCTAATGATCTGTGACACATATTTGTAAAGGAGTTTTTTTTTTTTGCATTAGAGTAAATTTTCCTGACGCAAAAAAACATCATTGTGTTATTTTGCTCATCTAATGAAAAATACATGTTCGTGGTGCATAGTAATACTAATATTAAAATGGCAAGAACTTTCTGGAAATTGTTCCAGTAATCGGTCATGAAGAAGCACCGAATGGCTTGTTTCTAGGGGAGATGGAGTGGTTAAAAAAAAAAAAAAAAACAGTTTAGGCAAAATAATGTAAACACTCTAAAAGTTTTAAGATTCATGGTATATGTTGCAATTTAAGCAAAACTCAGGTAACATGCAGACTGTTTAAGCGCTCACCTTTTTTCTCCATTCAAAAGCTGCAGCTTCTCTCCGTCCATCTCTGTAGTTCTGTTTCGAACGTCAGCGTTTAAACATTATATCTTTGGCTATATAAAATATACCGCCTGCCTTCCCGCCTCTTGTCTCCTTATATGAATAACCTATTCGGTCGGTTTGAGCCTCTTTATTATCGCTTATGGGTCCGTGTGAATTTAGCGCCGGGTGCAAAGAGCCGACTGCAAAACAAATCCCAAAATTCCACGCCGCACCTCCCCCAGTACTTTACCGTCCGACCCTTGTGGCTCACACCCTCCCTGGGACTGAGTGCATAGCTACTAGTCCAAATGTATCCGCTGGAGACAGAACCACGTGCGGGCCTATTAGTTTTTTTTATTGTCATAGCTGGAAATCCCATGGAAGTATCAAACTTTCCAAAATCCTTACAAGTTTTTCTCATGTAAATATATGCAAATGATTTTAATCTTCTTCCCTACATACCACTAAATAATCATTTTGTCAAAATATTGTTTTGGTCACTATTTAATGTCTGTAACCAGTCACAGTTTTACATCTCACTTGCCTGCAGGTAAATAGTTTTAGAATACAATTTTTAACACAGTATCGTTTATGTGTCATTGTTTGTATGAATCTCATTTGGCGCATTTGAAAACATATTTACATTGGATGAAAACATGAATTTCTGTGGGTGGGTGTTGCATGCAATACATTAATGTTATATTTAACTTTTTTCTTTTCTTTTATTTCAGTTTGTATACTTCCTAATTGCCCCACTTTGGTTTCCACTGGTGGTACAAGAAGCAAGTTCTTAGAAAGCACAGCAAGGGTGTGTTTAATGACATGGTAATGTGTTATGCTAACTCAATGCATTTTTTGCATGTGAAAGCACACAAGCAGCTCCCTGCTAATGAATAATGCTGGAGGATACTGACATACCTCCATCTGGAGATGTACTAATAAGTACAGTATGATGACGCAACAAGGGTATATTCTTAAAAGTGGGGCAAAACATAAAAAGGAGGAGATACCAATGAAATGTGCCTGCTGTATACACCATAACACTGACATCTTATAAAGTGGGGTGCCAGTGGGCAGGATAAAAGATGATGGAACAGTGATGCGAAGCATATCACTGATGCTGCCCATAGGGTTGGACCAACCCAAAAATAGGGTGGATCTGCCTGAAGAATTGGTAGGCCAGTCTAGCTTGAATAACAGGTAGTCTGCCAATCATCCATGCTGAAAGCTTTATTTCAGTTCTCTCTGCATGGTCCTTGTGTCTTGAGTGTAAGGCAAGTGCATCTAATGATGCACGCACACTACACGTTTTGGGGACAGTTCCCTGGTGTCCCCAAGAGCAGGAACGGAGGGGCAGGACGTAAAATAGGGACAGTCTCTCTGAAATTGGGAGTGTTTGGGAGCCTGCTGCTGGCTTCACACTGGTTTCTATAGAGATTGCCTCACTTTCTGTAATTTACACAACTTTTGATAAATCAGTAGAATGGAAGAATGGAAGGAGCAGAAGCCAGATTGCAGAGAATCAAGGAGAGAGTTGGTATTGAGAAAGTAAGTTAGACAGGTAAATACAACCTGCCCAAGAGTTTCAGAAGTGAAGGGGAGTAGTGCACACATTCACACACAATATGCAGATTCTGCCCAAGCATACACACACTGTCCATTAGTTTAACACATAACATTCACATTATGCACATCACATTCATACAAAACCAAAATAATTCCCACACCAGATACAGCTTTTGCACACACATACCCAACATTTGGGAGGGGCATGCAGATTAAACATTATGAGGGATCATAATGTTTAATCTGCATGCCCCTCCCAAATGTTGGGTATGTGTGTGCAAAAGCTGTATCTGGTGTGGGAATTATTTTGGTTTTGTATGAATGTGATGTGCATAATGTGAATTATGAGGGATCATAATGTTTAATCTGCATGCCCCTCCCAAATGTTGGGTATGTGTGTGCAAAAGCTGTATCTGGTGTGGGAATTATTTTGGTTTTGTATGAATGTGATGTGCATAATGTGAATGTTATGTGTTAAACTAATGGACAGTGTGTGTATGCTTGGGCAGAATCTGCATATTGTGTGTGAATGTGTGCACTACTCCCCTTCACTTCTGAAACTCTTGGGCAGGTTGTATTTACCTGTCTAACTTACTTTCTCAATACCAACTCTCTCCTTGATTCTCTGCAATCTGGCTTCTGCTCCTTCCATTCTACTGAAACTGTCCTTTCCAAAGTGACTAACGACTTAAGGGACCACTCTAGGCACCCAGATCACTTCAGCTTAATGAAGTGGTTTGGGTGCCAGGTCCCTCTGTTACCGGGAAACTGACGGAGGCCAAGCATAGAGAGATGGACACAGGTTTCTTCAGGAAGGAAGAGATCTTTATTCGATTCACCGACCGGGACTCAGAGGGACTTATGTTACCAAAAACAGCAAAGATCTGAGCACTGAATACATAGAGTACATTCCTTATGTAGCACTGTAGCTTCTCCCATAATTAGCTACGCCCACACATACCCTTAACCATAGCAGTTTGTTACATTAAGACTACAAGCAATGCTCTCAGCTAGGTCTATGAATAAGTTTTTGGCATTATGGGGAACCTTATCTTCCACACTCATCTCCTCATAAAAAGAATGGAAAACCTGATGAGTCTGGGGGGCCACTGTATCTGTCTCTATTCCTATGTATAATATCGTCCCAGGATCCAAACCTGTTCCATATATTTGGAACCCAAATAGATTCCCAAACTTATCAAGGACCCAGAGCTATTTATAGATAAGTATATGGACTGGGTTACACTCCATAGACTTACAATATGGCTTGGTAGGCAATCTAGTGATAATCATATCCTTATCTACTGTCTGTCCCCAGGTTGCCCATCCCACACAGGACCAATACGGACAATAATTGTAGTCTTTATTTAGGCAGTTTGGATCTATATACTTATGCTTATTACTAGGACAAATATACTTATCATTAGACCCATACGTTCTTTCCCATTTAAGACCACCACATACATTCCATGGCTTCCTACTACCTGATATCGCCTTACATACATCAAATAGCAATACACCTGGAGAATGTACGCTTTCTAGTACAGTCTTATTTATCAGGTTCCCCTGTGCGTTCTCATTCCGAATAGTCAACCAAATTGTACGGGGCTGATACTCAGGATTAAAACACCTAGGTTCTCCTGCTCCTATATGGCATACACTATAATCTGTACCTAGGTATCTACACTTTGATACATGTCCTGTGCACTCATATTGCGAATGCCAAATAAGGGTCTGGGAAATACGATTGCCTGTTTTCGTAGTCTTAATGCAAACCTCGCAGCCTGGTGTGTCGGTACCTCTACCTTCCTGAATAATTAAAAACACACATATATACATCATCAAACACATTACTCCTGACATCTTCTTCCTAATTCTTCGACCGTGCGACGGCACCTCAGCTTCCAAGCGTGTGAGGGCTGCAGGGAATGAAGTCCTTCTGATCCTCACTGTTCTTCACAGAGGATTTCTCTGGCTTAAACATTGGTAGGTGGTCAGGCTTTATTGTGGCCGTCAAAACACCTACTTGTAGATCTTTGTTGATGTTCCCTTGTGACAATACTCTTCGCAAAAAACACTTTTAATCTAACTGGGTCACTCGCTTCAACCGGATCTTGCAGGGATTCTCAGGATCTTGAGTAGCTTGCCAAGAATCTGCTGCTGGTTTAACCCTGGAGTGATGAATCCACGGAGTCACCTCTGCCACCTTTATAACTGTTGGAGTAGACAAAAGAACAGCATAAGGACCCCTCCACTTTGGCCCCAACGGTACACTGTTCCACTCCTTTATCCAAACTTGGTCTCCTGGATGGAGGGAATGGACAGGTGGATAAATATTTACAGGTAACCTATCTTGTACCCATTTCTGTACCTCCTCCATAGTTTTACCCAACTCTACAACCTGCCGCCGGGTAATTCCTTCTCCCAACTGACTCAAGTCCCCCCTTAAGTTACTAAGTATGGGAGGTGGACGCCCATACATAATTTCAAAGGGTGATAGACCTAACTTTCTGGTAGGTGTACTACGAATGCGCAACAGAGCTATTGGCAAAAGAACATTCCATTTGAGTTGGGTTTCTTGACACATTTTTGCCAACTGGGTCTTAATGGTTCTGTTCATCCTTTCCACTTTCCCAGAACTCTGAGGCCTATATGCTGTATGAAGTTTCCACTTAATAACTTCAAGCATATGAGTCAGTTGTTGTAGGCACTGATGGACAAAAGCTGGACCATTCTCTGATCCTATAGAACACGGTAGTCCATATCGGGGTATTATTTCTCGCAACAGAAATCGCACAACTTCTCCTGCTTTCTCTGTACGAGTTGGACACGCCTCTACCCATCCTGAGTAGGTACACACAGCTACTAGTAGGTAACGATGTCCGCCGGATTTGGGCATTACCGTGTAGTCTATTTGGAGATTGGACATAGGAAGCCCTCCCATGTACTGGACTCCCGGTGGTTTCACTGGACCTTGCCTTGCGTTGTTCTTGGCACATGACACGCATCTTCGAACAATGGCTTGAGTCAAGTTGGACAATCTTGGTATGTAGAAATGCTTCCTAAGAGATTCTTCCATACTATCTCTTCCAGAATGTGTCCCATTATGATAATTCTGGACAATTTCTACAGCTAGCAATGCTGGAATAACTATTCTTCCATCTTCTAACTGATACCAATTATTCTCCAAATATTTCCCAGCTTCAGTCTTTAACCACTCTACTTCTTGAGCTGTATAAACTGGAGTCCACTGGGACAGAGGGGTCGGTATAAGAGCTGCTACACACTCCACATATTCTTTTTGTCCGGATTCAGCGGCACGCTTAGCTGCACTATCTGCCATCCGATTTCCTTTCACCACATCACCATCACCTTTCAGATGTGCTCGACAATGTGTGATACCAACTTCCTTCGGCTCCCATACAGCTTCCAATAGTTGTAATATCTCAGCTGTGTACTTGATTTCTTTTCCTTCTGAGGTCAGTAATCCTCTTTCTTTATACAAAGCTCCATGGGCATGAGTGGTTAAAAACGCGTACTTTGAGTCTGTGTAGATATTTACTTTCAACCCTTCAGCCAATTGCAAAGCCCGTGTAAGTGCGATTAATTCTGCCTTCTGTGCTGATGTTCCTTTTGACAATGGCCGCGCTTCTATCACCTTGTCTATAGTTGTCACTGCATATCCGGCATAGCGAAT